CAGTCAGTCCAGCCCCCCTTAGAGTGCATGATTAGTAATTTCAGGAGTGGGTTTTGCAAAACTTGCAAAGTGAAAGTCAGTGCAAAAAAGGCTGGCCCCATTATGGAAAATGTTGGCCGCCCGAGGGTACATTAGATTTATAAAGATCATTGACCGATTGTAAGAAATATTAGGTGTATAGAACACTAAGGAAATGTATATAGGACTGTATATATAATACACACATATATTGTGTACACAAATCTCTCAGGACACATTACCTGTATATTACATTGATGGAATGTATAGATAATATATGAGTTATGCAGGAGATGTACAGATGATAGGAAAAGTACAGCTGATATACACTATGAAATGTATAGATGACAAAGATAATACTACAGCCTAAAAAGTAACAAGTGTATCTTTTCTCAACCTGAGGAGACAAATCTGCCTCCTCCATATGTACAGGGATATACCATGGGTGAACGATGAACAGATTCTGACACCCCTAGTTGTGACACTATCAGTAATAGCAGTAGGATGGGAATTTGGGGCACAGCAACAACTAATGGGCGCACAGATAAGGTGTTCACTTCCACCCCGAAGGACTCCATTGCCAATAATCGGACTCTTGTCCTATCCTTCAATTTACCCATGCAAATGCCCCTAAGGGAACAATTGATAGGGGGACACAGGACTCTAGTCTACACTCCCTTCACCACAACTGATTTACTGAACTGGAAGACCTATAACCCTTTTTATAGTGAGAAACCACAGGCTGTGACAGGCTTTCTCCGTGTGATAATCCAGATGCATATCTGTGAGATGGGGAAACAGCTCTCATTCTTTGAACACTGATTGTGTGGAAGTAAATTAATGTTTTGACTGACATTCTGCGGTTTAGCCACAAGATGTCACTGTTTTTCTAACACAGGCTCAGACTGCATAGATATTTGTATATTCATGAAGAGGTGGAGTTTTCACACAGAGTTGGAGTGAACAGGAAGAGGAGACTGCAGACACATTTTGGATGATGCAGAATGAGGGGGCCGTGTGAGCTGAGAATCCAATGACATCCAGGTGTGAATGCTTCCCTCACTAACCAGACCTGCAGCTGAGTGAAGCTGATGAGTTTGCTGCCAGGAAGCTGATGAGATTACTGCCAGGAAGGCTGATGAGAGCAGAGGAACAAAGCAACATATACGGCAAGACCGCACGCTTGTTGGAAAGACATTTGTTCTGTTCAGAGTCACCAGCAGATGCAAAGCAGACCTGGGTCGGTAAGATCGTGCACGCACCTCATTTCAGTGTTGGCGCCTATAGACTGAGACCAGGCCTATAGTTAATTAGGGTCTCTGTGTCAGGCCACAAGTGTTATTACTGATCATTGGAAGGACTCTACAACTTAAAGTGACATTTCACATTGGAGAACTGATAAAATCCTACAAACTCAAGCCAGACTGGCGTTTTGCTCAGAAGGAATACTCAGGCACGTGCTACAGGACCAGTTATGGGAGAGGGAATACTGTAGATTTGTGTAAGATTGTAAGCTGTTGTGCTGCACTGCAGGCTAGCCCATACCATACACCCATACACTGATTCCTGCTCTTTTAGGGTAATAACAGGTAAGGTGTGGCAGCTTATTTGTGCCCGCCAGTAGGTAAATGACTTCACTTTCTACCTTCATCCATCAAAAGGCGCTGTACTGTGCAGCACAAGGGTCTCAGCCTTTGGGCTGGGTGTATGTAAATTTATTGTATGTTTCCAGCATTTGTGGTTGTGTTTATTTGCCACATCTAAGTAAAATTCTGTTGTGCCAAAAGTTGGTGTTGGGGTTGCTTTCCTCATTCGTGACGTCAGACGGACAGTGATGGTAAGGCCTGAATCTGAGAGAGACACCCTAGAGAAAATATTCTCCTTGCTGGAGAGAGCCCAAGGGGGGCGTGCTAAAGTAGTGCAGCTGCGGAGCCATTTCTTCAACCGACCACAGCAAGAGAGGGCTAGACCCTGATGCAGTACTCCAATGCCCTACAGGAGACGCTAAATGAAATACAGCGGCAAGATCCAGAGGCCATGGGAGCTTTCCAGCCCTTCTGGTGTACCTCCTCAGAACCCAGATTAAATCTCCTCTTCACCCAGTTGCCTGAGAAAATCCCTGAGCAAAGGGACCCAGAAACTGCCAATGTATTACAGCAGCCCCAGATAAGGAGCCAGTTGAGTTTGCCACCTGACTGCCCTCTCTTATCTGACCCAGGGGGAGCAGGATTACTCACTTAGTCCTCTCCTGTAAGCATGTGGATTAGTGACTGCCTTCAGGCCTAATGTTGGGCTGGCTCCTTCCCTGTTTCCCAGGCTGTCCTCTCTCGGGGGATGGTTGAGGCTGAGAGATCCTCCTGCCAAGATCTGGCCTGCAGGTGGACACCTCCCTGGGCCTCCAGTCTTCTCACATTATCTTCCACATGACGCTGACCACTTCCTGACCATGCTTTCCCATACATAAGGGCTGCCCTGACCCCATGCCAATCCCCCTGCTTGAGGATTGGTCAGCATCCCCTGGGTATGCAGATCAGCCCCTCCCCACCCCCACCCACTGCCTTCTAGAAACTTCTCAAGCTTCTAGAGCAGGGAGAGGTATCAGGAAACTGACTTGCAGAGCCCTCAGCCCTGGCCTGAAGTTACCTGGCTGACTCATCCCCAGGCTGGCTCATATCAGGCTGCTATCCAGCTGCTAACTTTAAAAAAAACCCAGCTATCTTCCCCCGGCTAACCAGAGGGGAGCTACACAGGTAATTTTTGGCACTTATAGAACAGATACACCAAAATGCTTTGACTAGTTTATTCAACAGAGCAAAAGGAAGCATTTACCAAGCAGTGCACTGACTAAACTGATTAAAGCTTGTATGAGGAGTTTTTATTCTCCTCTGATTGTCCTATGAGGCTGCAGGACCCCTGACCCCCCTCTCTGGACAGTGCTGATTGGTCCTGTGCTGATCACATGCACTGACCCAAGAAAAAAGAAAAACTGTAGAAGCAATACACACCAAACTGAGCCTGTGCAGCTTGCTCCCAAGGCTCTGTTCTATCAGGAGATGGATTGGGGACTGTGGAAGAAGGGGAGGATCAGAGAAGACAGGATCAAACATCCTTTTTACATATTACAGAGGATTAACCCCTGAGGTTCCACAGTTAGTATAACAAGCATGCTTTAATGCAGATATATACTGATTTCACTATTGTGGGTTTAGTAACACTTTAAGATGGAGCTGGTCAGGGAAATATGACAGCAAAAAGGATGTAAGCGCCAAATGTTTTGTAATACAATACGTGAAGAATCAATATATGTTTAAAAAGCACATAGAATTCAATGAAAAGCATTTGGTTGGCACTTACTCCCCACAGTCATCTCCTATCATTTTGTAAAAATATATAATCTTCCACGTTAGAAAAAGGAACAATATAGATCCTCAAAATTTCAATTAACTGTCTCAGCAACGACCCAGAATATTCTATCAATAGTGTTATCTAATGTCTTTTTTTGTCTTTTGAATTACTTTATAGAGTTCTTTAGTGATTATAATAGACAATTTACCAATTGCGACGGTTCCGTCAAAGAAATACATCATTTGACTCAAAACACATTATCAAATCAAATATTTATGAGATTACACTGGGAATCAGTGCTCTATTTATAATGACACCATCAGCCTACATCAACCATGGTTTAGTGTGGTTGTGTGTATCAAACACAGTGCAATGACCCAGGGAGGTATAGCAGTGGCGGTGTGTTTAGAGCAGCATATTGGAAGGATTTTATGGAGGCAATTTTGTAGGTGAGTCAGTGAGGTATAGAGCTCCTGTGATATGTAGATTATATCTGAAATTAGACAGACTACCCAAGACCCTAAGCAGTTTACTAGCCCATTCCCCTCCCCAAGCCACCTTTGATATGCATATCCTGTTCAAATATTAGAGTAATACAAGAAAAATAGAATACTTCATTTTTAATATGCTGTAACTTCTACCTTTTGTATCTAACCATCATACCCTAATACAGGGTGTAGGCAACCTTAAAGAGGGGGAGATCTTCCTGAACCCCATGGGAGAAGTCAAAGATCACCGGGCACAGGGTCACCTCCTCACACCTGATTTAAACCTCTAATTGCCATACTATAACACAATAGTGTGCATTGCACAGCAATCATGGGTTTAAATCAGGCATGAGGAGGAGATAATGCCCGGTGATCTTTGACTTCTCCCATATTGTACAGGTAGATCTCCGCCCAGTGGTGTCACTAGGGGGGACACCATCACAGGGGGTGACATCCCTCCTGCAGCCCCAGGAAAAGCCGTGCCATGCAGGGGGTGAGATGTATGGTCCTGGAGGGGGGGGGGGGTCCGATTCCCGGGATCACAGCCGCTGCTGCAGGCCAATTCACACCCAGGCTGTCCCCCATACACCGGAGCGGAGCCTGCCCCCACCTTCTGATTGGACGGCTCCTACTTTACATGTCAGTCCATGAATGGTAATGACCCTGCCCAGAGCCCACCCCTCTGCATCACACATCACTGGCCAGTCCCTGCACAGGACATCCTTCTGTCTCCCAACACAGAGCCCGGGACCGGGGTGACACCACGTGTTAACGTACCAGGTGACACCAACCCTAGTGATGCCTCTGTCTCTGCCTCCAACATATCGCCTCCTCCCCGCCTGTCAAACACACTTTGCTATTCAGAGGAGCACCAGTGCCTGCTGCACTTGTGAAGGAGCTCTTAGTTGCATTTGGCAGCAGCACCTTAGGTTTCGTTCACACAGAAATCTGGGGGTTGCTAAAACCCTGTGGTTGAGTCATGGTTTTACCACCCCCAATCCATACCCCCTTTAGCTGTTTAGGCAGCAGCCAAAAGTGTACACATGCTGCAGCAGGAATTACTTGTGATCCATTCAAGTAAATAAGGCCACTGTTCAAGCTCCCTGTAACTGCATGCTTCTGCGGGGTCCAGGGGCGGACTGACAATTCATGGGGCCCCCGGGCAACAGGGGATCATGGGGCCCCTGTGTCCTTGCCCAAACTCAAAAAAGCCTATGAAAAAGGTACCCGGGGCATCTCATGGGCCCCCTACTGACCCTGGGCCCTCGGGTAGTGTCCGAGCTTCCAAATGGCGGGGTCCAAAGGTTAACAGGCGGTGAGAAAGCAACACAATGCTGCCAGCTTTAACCCCTTCTTTGCTGTACTGCACAAAGTTGCAGGGCACTTGCAGAGTGGCCTCATTCACTCGAATGGGTAATGCTTGGCAGGTGCTACAACCACCAACCATGACAGGGCATATAACTCTGGCTGTGGCTGCAACATGTGTACACCCCTGGCCACTGCAGCTAAAGGGTACAGTTTGGCAGGGGTGGTAAAAACACATCTTAACTATGGGGTTTTACCACCCCCCAAACTGCAAATTTAAATAAACCCTTACGGTTCTGAGCCCCCTATAAGACTGCTTTCACACTGATGTGCTGCAGTTTACCTGTACCGCGGTGCATCTGCAACTTTCCTGGGTTAGCTGCACTTTGCCATAGTCTTCTATTATATCTTATAGCCAGAGTACTTGGTGTCATTCTGGACTCCAACCTATCCTTCCAGCCCCAAGTCCAATCTTTAACAAGCTCGTGCAGACTCCACCTCCGCAACATCGCCAAAATCCGCACGTTCCTAACCCCAGAAACCACTAAACAGCTCATCCACTCCCTCATCATATCACGACTAAACTACTGCAACCCCTGCTCACTGGCCGGCCTCACCGCTGGCTATCCCCGCTTCAGTCGTTCATGAATACGGCTGCCAGACTCATTCACCTTACTAACCGCTCCGTTTCCGCCACCCCCCTCTGCCAATCCCTCCACTGGCTTCCGATTGCCCAATGGATCAAATTCCAAATCCTAACACTGACGTACAAAGCCATCCACCATACTGCCCCGAACTACATCACTGACCTAATATCCAAGTACCACCCAGCACGCACACTCCGCTCCTCACAAGACCTCCTTCTCTCTAGTTCCCTGGTCTCCTCATCCCATGCCCGCATCCAGGACTTCTCCAGGTCATCACCCATCCTCTGGAACTCCCTACTCTTCTCTCCTTTAGGCGCACCCTGAAAACCCACCTCTTCAGGGAAGCCTACCCCGCCCTCTGCTAATTGCCGATCTCCTCCACTCTTCCTACCACTCCATCCCCCACAGCTTTTCCTCCCGTACCACTCTCCCCTCCCTCCTAGATTGTAAGCTCCAAGGAGCTGGGCCCTCAAACCCCTTGTGTATTGCATTGTATTGTTACTGTACTGTCTCGTGTACTGTCTCCCATTGTAATGTACAGCGCTGAGCAAACTGTTGGCGCTATATAAATACTGTATAATAATAATAATCTTGCAGGTGTGGTGCACTTTCTGAAAGCGCACCAAAACACCTGCATTCAGTGCGCTTTCAAAAAGTACATCAAACCTGCAGGATATAATAGAAGTCTATGGCTAAGCACAGCAAACCCACAGATAAGCTGCAGATACACTGCACTGCACCCTCGTGTGGGTAAACCGCAGCGCATCAGTGTGAAAGCAGCCCTATACTATTATGCCCAGTGTATTGCTGCACACTGACCTGAAGATCTCTTTCCTGCTGCTGGCAGCACTCTGGAGACCTCTAGCCAGGAGAAGAGGTGGAGTGCAGTTGGTATCACTCCGCACAGGACAGGGGCCAGCAGGGTATTGGCTTATGCGGCTCTTTTTTGAGAAAAAATTATATTTTTGACTTTTTGCTATTAAACATGACCAGTAAAAAAAATTTAAAAATCAAATTTCATCATAAATTTAGGCCAAAATGTATTCTGCGACATGTCTTTGCTAAAAAAAAAATCCCAATACGTGTAAATTAATTGGTTTATGTGAAAGTTATAGCGTTTACAATGGCGGTATAGATAATGGGATATTTTTTTATTTTTTATTTTTACTAGTAATCATGGCGATCAGTGCTTATAGCGGGACTGCAGGCATTCTGACACTAGGGGGAATTAACTTGGTGTCACTGACATCCCCAGTGACACCAATACAGTGATCAGTGCTAAAAACATAAGCACTGACACTGTACTAATGGCACTGGGCAGGAAGGGGTTTACATGAACAGCGACCAAAGGGTTAATTGTGTGCTGCGTACTGTTTTACTTGTGTTTGTGTCTGTATGCTTCACTGTAAGCACACTGCTTTGTTTACAAACAGTTCTCCTCCCCATCGGAGATACTGGGCAATCACCAGGCGCCGGACCCGGTGATCGACAGCTGTGGCCGCAAATGGTGGCATGGGTAGGGAACGTGCACACAGGGGCGAACTGACCATTTGGAAACTTGGCCACTCCCTGAGGGCCCGGGGTCAGTAGGGGGGCCCATGAGATGCCCCTGGTACCTTTTTCATAGGCTTTTTTGAGTTTGGGCAAGGACACAGGGGCCCCATGATCCCCTATTGCTCGGGGGCCCCATGAGTAGTCAGTCCACCCCTGCGTGCACGCCTCACACGTGCCCCCTACCTGGAGATGCAAAATCACATATATATTTTTTTTTGTGAACCCGTGCCGCCCTGTAGCAGTATTTCTGCTATAGGGTGGGTCGGGAAGCAGTTAAAGGCCAATCACACCTTAAATTGTTTTTTAATCACCTCAATATCAGAATGTTTATTTCATTTTGAGAAAATTGTGGAAAAGAATTAGGCCCCTTTCTTACAGGGCGGACTCGAGCTGCGATCTGCTTGCTCAGCAGGGGATCTGACTGCAGATCCTTGCTGAGCAGGCAGATGACAGGTCCATGTCTGCTCCACTTATGCAGAGCAGACACGGACACAGCCCGTTCTCCTTTATGGACAGTCGGATGTAAATGGACCGCTTATCTGTTTACGCCCGACTGCTATCCAATCTGATCTGCTGGATGGAAGGCAATGGATCCCCATCTGTCTGTTTTTGGCAGATCAGATTGGGTATAGGCGGGTGTAAACAGACACATGTCCGTTTACACCTGCCGTTCCATAGAGAAGAATGGAGATTTCAAATGAAACTTATGGAATGTCCGTGTGAAAGGGGCCTTAGATCACCTTGGAATGTTCACCTTCTGAAAAAGGGTCATCTTGGGGGTGTTTATACTGTAATGGCATATTTATTTGATGTGTTTTCAATTTTTTTCTTTGTACAGTAACAAATTTAAAGACCCAGTGGCTATTAAATACCAACACATGAAAGCTCTATGTGAAAAAAATATGTAAAATATTAATTGCCCCCCAAAATCTGGTACTATTGATCATCTTTTAGACTTGGTTCACACTAAAGTGGTGCGGGAAACGCAAGGAATCCTGTGTGTTTTCCGCACCGCATTGCAATCTCACAGTGATGTCAATGTTAAGTTAACGGCACCTGCAATCGCAAAACGCAGTGCTATTTCCAGAATTTGCACTGCATGGGTGTGAACACCCATTGTATTTTTATGTTTGTTAAAGTCAGACTTCCCATACAGTCCATCTGCTATTTGATCATTTTTATACAGTAACACAGAGACAGAAAATGATCATTTGTAATAGATTTTCACAATTCAATGCTATTATATCTCCGATATAGGGCCAGAAGGCCTGTTTATTGTATAAAGATAGGGATTCGGGCAAAAATGAGCATGCCTTTGTATGGAGCTATCTTTCATTAGAAAGATTCTCTATGATCAGACTAGCCTTTGACTGTTCTTATAGATAAGGGGCAGTGTACGAATTTGAAATTATTTTTTGTATAAAAATTCCATGTCTTTAGATCTTCTTTCTTGGACATTAATGAATAATCTTTCTACATTTTTGCAAAAAAGGCTAACACCTTATAGTTGTCTTTACTTTGACATTTACACAAATATGTCCACCATTATTGGTTGGCAAAATATAATAGGTTGGTAGACCTTTCTTCACAACGTGTACTGGATGAGATGGCTTTTAAGGTCTAATTCCTGGGCCCCGTAGGCATCTTATTCATCACCTGATTCTACTTAACTTGGAAGAATTTGATGTGGTTCATCTGATGTTATTGGGTACCAGTGCCATGGACTTCATGGGACTCAAAACAATACAGTTTAGTATTCATGGACCCAAAACAATACAGTTTAGTATTCATGGACCCAAAGCAATACAGTTTAGTGCATAAGCCTACTGCTAGGCCTAGGCCTAAATATTTTTCCCATGAATTGTAGTCTCAGTTATTCCATACCTCCCAACTTTTTGAGGTGACAAAGAGAAACACTTTTTAGCACAGTATATGTAGCCAAAGGACACTGCACCAACCCACATGGATCGTGAAAAGCTAATATGCAAAAATTATTGCCTAAACTCAAAGAGGCATTTTTTTTCCGTCACTGCTTCTCCTTTCTACTCTTTTATGTAAAACTAAAGGAAATAATTTAGGGGTGGTATTAAAAGTTTAGTGTAGCATAACACTTCTGTAATAGAAGTTTATGCATCAAACCAAACAGAGGGACAACTGAGAAGCAAAGAGGGACAGAGGGTGTAGTTTCAAAAGAGGGACAGTTGGGAGCTAAGGTTATTCTATGCTGAGTTATTGTACAGAGTTTTATGTTAGCTTTTATACATTGGATATAAAAAGTCTACACACCCCTGTTAAAATGTCAGGTTTCTGTGATGTAAAGACAAAGATAAATAATTTCAGAACTTTTTCCACCTTTAATATAACCTATAAATTGTACAAAATTGTACAACTCAGTTGAACAACAAACTGAAATCTTTTGGGTGGAGGGAAGAAAAAATAAAAACTAAAATAATACGGTTGCATAAGTGTGCACACCCTTAAACTAATACTTTGTTGAAGCACCTTTTGATGTGATTCCAGTACTCAGTCTTTTTGGTCTATCAGCATGGCATATCTTGACTTGGCAATATTTGCCCGCTCTTGTTTGCAAAAACACTCCAAATCTGTCAGATTGCGAAGACATCTCCTGTGCCCAGCCCTCTTCAGATCACCCCACAGATTTTTGATCTGATTCAGGTCTGGGCTCTGGTTGGCCCATTCCAAAACTTTCATCTTCTTCTGGTGAAGTCATTCCTTTGTTGATTTGGATGTATTCTTTGGGTTGTTGTCATGCTGAAAGATGAAGTTCTTCTTCATGTTCAACTTTCTAGCAGAAGCCTGAAGGTTTTGTGCCAATATTGACTGCTTTTTGGAACTGTTCATAATTCCCTCTACCTTGACTAAGGCCCCAGTTCCAGCTGAAAAAAAAACAGCCCCAAAGCATGATGCTGCCACCACCATGCTTCACTGTGGGTATGGTGTTATTTTGCTGATGTGCAGTGTTGTTTTTGCACCAAACATATCTTTTGGAATTATGGGCAAAAAGTTCAACCTTTGTCTCATCAGACCATAACAGATTTTTTTTTCCCACATGCTTTTGGGGAGACTTCGGGTGTGTTTTTGCAAAATTTAGTAGGGCTTGGATGTTTGTTTGTAAGAAAAGGCTTCCGTCTTGCCACTCTACCCCATTGACCAGACGTATGAAGAATACGGGAGATTGTTGTCACATGTACAACATAGCCAGTACTGGCCAGATATTCCTGCAGCTCCTTTAATGTTGCTGTAGGCCTCTTGGCAGCCTCCCAGACCAGTTTTATTCTCATCTTTTCATCAATTTTGGAGGGACGTCCAGTTCTTGGTAATGTCACTGTTGCGCCATATTTTCTCTACTTGATGATGACTGTCTTCACTGTGTTCCATGGTTTTTCTAGTGCCTGGGAAATTCTTTTGTACCCTTCTCCTGACTGATATCTTTTAACAATGAGATCCCTCTGATGCTTTGGAAGCTCTCTGCGGACCATGACTTTTGCTGTAGGATGCGACTAAGAAAATGTCAGAAAAGACCTAGCTTAACAGCTGAACTTTATTTGGGGTTAATCAGAGGCACTTTCAATGATGGCAGGTGTGTACTGACTCCTATTTTTTTTTTGTGATTGCTTAATTCTGAACACAGCTACATCCCCAGTTATAAGTGGGTGTGCACACTTATGCAACCACATTATTTTAGTTTTTTATGTTTACTTTCACCCCTAAAAGATTTCAGTTTGTTTTTCAATTGAGTTGTACAGTTTATAGGTCACATTAAAGGTGGAAAAAGTTCTGAAATGATTTATCTTTGTCTCATTTTTTTTTACATCACAGAAACCTGACATGTTAACAGGGGTGTGTAGACTTTTTATATCCACTGTATACTTCATTGTATAAACAATTTTCGACTTACTTTGTGTTGTCATCATTGGTGGAAAAAGTATACACTGCTATGGCCTAAAACATTTTCATGCCAGCACCATTTTCCAGTCTCTTTTCTAAGCTAATTTCTATCTCGGTCCATTAAGTTTAGCAAGGTGAAAGGTTCCTACTTATCACCTCAGTAGATGTAGAAGCATTACCTAACTTTATGGCAATCCGACATTGGATACGGCCCAGTAAGCACTGTGGTTTGTAACTAAATGAACATATATATATAGGCCTATTTATATTATGTATGCTGTCTTGATCTACTTTACTATAATTTACAGTAAGATGAAGTCTGTGTCATAAAAATATTTCTCTAGTAATAGTTTTGCTATCTTTAGGCTTTGGAAGCACCAGACAAAATGGAAAATAATACACATGGCTTTTAAACAATGGAAAGTAGACACAATTTCTTTCCACTTTAGCCACACACTCTATATTTATAAAGATAGAAATGGCTGTCTGACATTGGTTCTGAACACGAACGATATTATTAACATTGTTTGGTCAAACCGCTGATTTAATGATTTATCCAAATGCTAAAGTTGATTGTGTTTCCTAATAGTTTAATCTGACTGATATTTAAGTTTCTTATCTTTCAACTGTGAGCGCTGGTCTAAATTAAGTAATAACAAAGACTCCATTCACAAAAAAGGCAGTATATTGAGTTGAAACAGATCTCCAGCTAAATACCATAGATTTATAAAAACAGCTTTTGCTTCCATATTCACCTTTAATCCAGAAATTTCCCCTGCATTACTTTTTTTTCTGCATCTAGTCTGATGGCCAGCTTCATTCAAATCACTTCATCTGAGCCCAGGTCTTCTCCTGCCCAACCCTGCCTGTGATTGGACAGTAAAAGTAGAAACGGCACAGTGATAAGTTTGGTTCCTTGTGCTTCTTCTTCCTCTCTGAAATAAAAATAAAGGGGGGTGGTTTTTCAGGAAATCCCCCTCTTTATATTAAAATTATTTACTATCTTGTCGGTCCCTATAATTAGTCTATATATCTAAACTCTGACAATATTGATGGACGTAATATACTGCAATATTAGCTATAATAACAAACACAATGCTCAAAGAACCAAGGTCTTATTTATTTACAACAGAATTAAAACACTAACAGAGAAACCTAAACCAATAGTACAGTGTATATAGAAATAAAAGCAACGATGATACATTATGTATGTTCGTCCCTCAAAGCTGAGTATCCTTTAGCTGGGTCCCAGGTAGAAAAAGTGAACAAAGAGAGCAAGCATAGCCAGAAGTGTTCTTAAAAGCACCCTCAAACTACCCACATACACACCCTTGACCTGCCTGGTGTAGTCCTCCGTCCAATGAGCGACAGTCCATAACTCATAAAGGGCTGTCCTCCCATCCATCCTCCCGGAAGTATGTCGTTGTCTTCACCAGGGGGGGCATTGCTATATTGCCAAAAAGACTATGACCCGGGACAATATTCCAGTCCACATCCAGCTTCTTCCTTCTGGATAGAAGCCATGTAATCTGTCCTTTTAATCTTCGTGTCACCAGGGAATCTGAGCTGATGCTCTCTTATCTCCATGCCCCATCGCTAGAGGGTATGTGTGAACCCCCAGGACATGGATTTTGGTATGCAGCCTTTTTTTTTACACGCACCCTGTTGTAAATACTTGCTTTTCTTGACACTCTAAGATAACATTCAATAAGCCAAATGGTTCTTTGATAACCAGGCAGTAAGAATCCATAAATGTCTGCTATTCCAACACTCTCAGTCAGAGAGTCAGAGGTCATGGGTCTTACAGCAGGTCAATGATCCAAAGCACACATCAAAAAGCACCCAGAAATGGGTTCAGACAAAGCGCTGGAGAGTACTGAAGTGGCCAGCAATGAGTCCCGATCTCAATCACCTGTGGAGAGATCTCAAAACAGCAGTTGGGAAAAGGAACCCTTCCAATCTGAGAGACCTGGAGCTGGCAAAAGAAGAGTGGTCCAAAGTTTGAGTAGGAAGGTGGAAGAAACTCATTGATGGTTACAGGAAGCGATTGATTTTAGTAATTTTTTTCCAAGGGGTGTGTACCAAATATTAAATTGAGGGTGCCAATAAATTTTGTCCAGTCCATTTTTAGGGTTTTGCATGGAATTTGTCAGATTTGGCTTTTTGTTTCTCCACTTTTTTTTGTCATACCAATACAAACAAAATAAATAAACATGAGAATGCCTAAATATTTGTAATTGCAACAATTTTATGGGCAAACTGGTGTCTTATCTGACAGAAATGCAGTGGTGCCAACAGGGACGGACTGACAACTCATAGGGCCCCCGGGCAATAGAGGATCATGGGGCCCCTGTGTCCTTACCAAAACTCAAAAAAGCCTATGAAAAAGGTACCAGGGGCATCTCATGGGGCCCCCTACTGACCCCGGGCCCTCGGGCAGTGCCTGAGTTTCCAAATGGTCAGTCTGCCCCTGGGTGCCAATATTTTTGGCCATGGCTATATATACAGTTAGATCCATATATTTTTGGACATAGGAACAAATTTTAGTTTTTTTCAGGTATTTACCAAAACATATTTAAGCTATAGTTATATATATAATGGATATGGGTTGAAAGTGCACACTCTCAGGTTTAATTTGAGGGTATGTACATCTAAATTGGAGGAAGGGTTTAGGAATTACAGCTCTTAAGAGTAGCCACCCCCCCCCTTTTTCAATGGACCAAAAGTAAAAGTAATTGGACAAATGAATATAATCATAAATAAAATGTTCATTTTTAATATTGTGTTGAGAATCCTTTACTGGCAATGACTGCCTGAAGTCTGGAACCCATGGACATTACCAAAGACTGGGTTTCCTCCTTTCTGATGCTTTCCTAAGCTCTAATTGCAGCTGTCTTCAGTTGTTCTTTGTTTGTGGGTCTTTCTGCCTTTAGTTTTGCCTTCAGCAAGTAACATGTATTATTATTATTATGCAGGATTTATATAGCGCGGACAGTTTGCTCAGCGCTTTACATTATGGTGGGAGACAGTACATGAGATAGTACAGTAACAATACAATTCAATACAAGAGGGGTTCGAGGACCCTGCTCCTTGGAGCTAACAATCTAGGAGGGAGGAGATAGTGGTACAAGAGGTAATAATTGTGGGGGATGGAGTGGATGGAAGAGTAGAGGATTTCAGTATTAGCTGAGGGCGGGGAAGGCTTCCCTGAAGAGATAGGTTTTCAGAGTGTGCCTAAAGGTGAGCAGAGTAGGCGATAGTCTGATGGATTTGGGTAGGGAGTTCCAGAGGATGGGGGAAGCCCTGGAGAAGTCCTGGAGACAAGCATGGGAGGAGGAGACAAGGGAGCTAGAGAGTAGGAGGTCTTGTGAGGAGCGGAGAGTACGGTTTGGGTGATATTTGGAGACAAGATCGGTGATGTAATTTGGGACAGTATTATGAATGGCTTTATACGTCAGTGTTAGCGTTTTGAATTTTATCTGTTGGGCAATTGGAAGCCAGTGGAGTGATTGGCAGAGAGGGGTGGCAGATACGGAATGGTTAGTAAGGTGGATGAGTCTGGCAGATGAGTCTGAGACTGAAGTGGGGATAGCCTGCGGTGAGGTAGGCCAATGAGGAGGGAGTTACAGTAGTCGAGGCGTGATATAATAAGGGAGTGATTGAGTTGCTTAGTGGTTTCCGAGGTTAGGAACGGTCAAATCTTGGAGATGTTGCGGAGGTGAAGTCTACATGAGTTTGTCAGCGATTGGACCTGGGGGAGGTGGCAGCGTTATAGATAACACTGAAGGAGCGCTGTGATAGATAGGATGAGAGCCAGGAGAGAGCCAAGATTCTGAGGCCAAGAGAGTGTAGTTTTTTGAGGAGGAGGGGGTGGTCAACCGAGTCAAAAGCCGCAGAGAGGTTGAGAAGTAGGAGTACTGTATAGTGGCCATTGGTTTTGGCGGTTAGTAGGTAGTTGGTGAGTTTGAGTAGGGCAGTTTCGGTGGAGTGTAGAAGGCGGAAGCCAGACTGTAGAGGATCGAGGAGGTTGTTGTCGGTGAGGTGGGAGCTCAGGTGATTATAGACTAAGCGCTCTAGGAGTTTAGTAAATGGCAGCAGGGAGATGGGTCTTAAGTTGTTCAATTTGATGGGGTCCAGGGAGGGTTTTTTAAGTATGGGAGTGATGTGCGCGTGCTTTAGAGGGGAGGGGAAGGTGCCAGTGGGGAGGGGAAGGTGCCAGTAGAGAGGGAAAGATTAAAGATGTGAGTGAGGGAGCGAACGGAAGAAGAGGGTGACCGTAGGAGTTGTGAGGGGGCAGGGTCCAGGGGGCAGGTGGTGAGGTGGACTTCTAAGACCTTAGTGACCTCTTCAGTGGTAGCGAGGTCGAAGGAGTGGAGTGTTGAGGGGGTTTTAGTGGGAGGAATGCTAGGTGGGGTGGAAGTCTGAGCAGTCTCGATGTCCCTACGAATTGCGTCAATGTTGTTTTTGAAGTGGTTAGCAATCTCGTGGGCGGTGAGTGAGGTACTGGGTGGAGGTGGTGGGCGGAGAAAGTAGAGAGTTAAAAGTAGAGAAGAGCCGAGGAGGACTGGGGGAGAAGGTATTAATGAGGGTAACAAAGTAGGCTTGTTTGGCAGCGTGAAGGAAGGAAGTGTATGCTAGGAAGGCAGATTTATATCGGGTGAACGCTTGTTGGGATTTGGTTTTACGCCATGGTTGCTCCATGTATACACAACATGTATACTCGATTGGGTTTGAGATCAGGTGATTGACTCGGCCATTGCAGAATATTCCACTTCTTTTCCTTCAGAAGCTCCTGGGTTGCTTTTGCAGTGTGTTTTGGATCATTTTCCATCTGTACTGTGAATCCCCGTCCAATCAACTTTGCTGCATTTGGCTGAATATGGACTCACAGTATATCTCTAAACACTGCAAAATTCATCCGGCTGATTCTGCCTTCTCTCACATCATTAATAAACACCAATGACCCAGTGCCACCGGAAGCCATGCATGCTCATGCCATCACACTGCCTCCACCATGTTTTACAGGTGACGTTGTGTGATTTGGATCATGAGCTGTTCCAAGCCTTCTCCACACTTTTTTCTTCCCGGTATTCTGGTACAGATTAATCTTAGTTTCATCCGTCCAAAGAATGCTTTTCCAGAACTGGTCTGGATTTTTCAGATGTTTTTTTGACAAAGTCTAATCTGCCTTTTCTATTCTTCAGGCTTAGGAATGGTTTGCACCTTGTGGTGAACCATCTGTATTTGCTCTCGTGAAGTCTTCTCTTGATTGTAGACTTTGACAATCATACGTCCACCTCCTGGAGAGTGTCCTTCACTTGTCTGGATGTTGTGAATAGGTTTTTCTTTACCATAGAGAGGATCCTGTGATCATCTACCACTGTTATCTTCTGTGGACGTTCATGCCTTTTTATGTTGCTGAGCTCACCAGTGCGTTCTTCTTTCCTCAGAATGTACCAAACAGATTGATTTGGCCACTCCTAATGTTACTGCTATCTCTCTGATGTTTTTGAAACTTTACAATGGCCTGTTTCACTTGCATGGACAGCTCCTTTGAACGCATGATGTAGGTTCACTGCAATAGATTCCAAATGCAAATACCACACTTAGAATCAACTCCAGACCTTTTACCTGCTTAATTGATGAACAAGTAACGAAGGAGTAGTCCTCACCTGGCCAGCTTTTGATTCAATTGTCCAATTACTTTTGGTCCCTTGAATAAGGGGGGATGGCTACTCTTAAGAGCTGTAATTCCTAAACCCTTCCTACAATTTGGATGTACATACCCTCAAATTAAACCTGAGAGTGTGCACTTTCAACCCATATCTATTATATAACTATAGCTTGAATATGTTTTGTGCCTGTGTCAAAATATATATGGACCTAACTGTGTATGTACAGTATATACATATATATATATGTTCTTTGTAAAAATAGTATCATGAAGATAACCTAACATTTAGTACAAATAATCAGAAAATAATATAAAAATATTTTATAAACTTGTAAACCTGAATAGAAAATTAACAAGAGTGTTTTATAGTTTTCCTTTAAGATAGTTGTCAATCTATAGCTAGGCTGTGATGTATTAACATATAGCCACTCAATTTATGCATCCATCATATCATGTGAAGCCACTTAACCCTTATATAAATAATACTTTTTTGTTAACCCTTTAAACTGTTTAAAGATTTCAAGGCTCATTAACATTTATCTGTGTTAGCTGTACTTTATTTGGCTACCTGTGATCTGGGCTATATAAATGACTTCACAATATGTGTGTTCGCCTCTACGCCCATTGATGAAATACACTCTGTGTTCCCTTTGTAGGAATTCCACATATCCCAGCTTCAGTTAGGACTTTAAGATTCCATGTGCCACAAGCATATTTCTATGGGAGCTTGTTAAGGGTTAGCCTACCTAAACTCAATTTTCTTAAGTACATTTTATTTGTGGATCTGTTGTCTTTTAGAGACAAAAATAAGGCAGAAGGCCCAAACACATTAATGGCCTCCTTTCTGTAGGACTGTGCCAGTCAGTTGGCACCGATTGTCGCAAAGATCTTAAATGGGAACAGTATGAAGTTCCTCCCTCCTGCTTTAAACACTCCACAGTCCTCTGATTACGGGATTAAATGAGGTCTGGCCTGTTGTTCTAATGTTGATAGGGCTGATAGACCTAAAACAAATAGTAAATACATGTGGACAAGTCACAGTGTTATATGGAAAATGTCCTTTGGACAGATAAAACATAATTAGGGGGATTTGGAGATGCCTTGCTAACCTGCATCAAAGCCTTATTCTACAGCATTGGTTAAATACGCCGGGTATTTTTCAGCACTCTTCCCCATTCATAGAGTCACCAGAGAGGGTTGTCCACTGTCTCCAGCTCTATTTATTTTAGCACTAGAGCCTTTACCAATTACACTTTGCACAGATCAAAATGTTACTGGATTGCTTATGCAGGCCATGATTTCAAAGTGAGACGATGCCCTTTTGATGCTGACCAACCCTCTCACAACTCTTCCTAATCTGCTACACCTCCTGACATGCTTTTCATCAATATCGGGCCTCTGGGTCAAGCTAGACAAGTCCATGGCATTGAATATCACCCTGGATCAGGCTCTGTTTACCTGCCTACAATCCCATTTTCCATTTCGCTGGGCATCCTCATTTATGAATTATCTGGGCATTCGACTGACCCCTACCTATTCCTCCCTGGTTTCTGCTAATTATTACCCTTTGCTTAATTCATTGACCTCTCTTATGCAGTCATGGCAGTGCCCATATCTGTCCTGGATAGGTCGCATCAAGATGACAGTTTTACCTAACTGTATGTGTGCCCCCATATTTCCTTTGTCTGTTCCAGAGTAGAATTTTACACTTTATTTGGGCCGATAAATACCCCAAAGTCCCCAAGGCTACCCTTTTCATATATAGGTTACAATGGGGATTGGGGGTTCCGCATGTTTCT